GCAGCAGCGACTTGACCCGCACGCCCACCCACCCATCCACGCGCATCCACGCCGATACCCACACCCACAGCGTCGAAGGCTATTCGTCCAGAAGCAATTCGATAAAATGCTATTATCTCAACTAATTATGGAGTAGAGCTGGAATCTTTTTTGGGGTTGAGCTATTTGTATGGTACTGTATAGAGGAACACAGTATGATTGCAATAGGAGCGGATCATCAATGGATGTTTGTTCATTCAAATCCAGCGCTTAGAAGCCTTTAAATATGTAACTCTAAGCGCTTTTCAGCGGGTTAAAATGTATGCCTTTCAGCAAGAAACATAAGCTACTTTAAGCCAGCTTTTTTGCTTAAATTTTCACATGGGTAGTCATTTCGCTCCCATCACTGAACGTAATACATGTTTGAGCATACCGCTATTGCCACGTAGCCACAGTTTCTCACCGACGTGATGTGGAATCTGGTTTTGAAATACAAGAGATCCATCATGCTTTCTCATTGTGATGATATGAGAATTACGCTGAAAGCATTTTACTGATTCGCCTTTGAGCCATTAGGCTTTTTATAGCTCTGCTTCCAGTTAAAAGTATTCATCTGGCATTTCGAATATTCAGCTCGAAAAATACTCATAGAGTAGCAGTGATGCAATATGCAGTCGCTGGATTTAGTCGATTTTTCATCATATTTGAGTCAGAATCCTTAACAAAAAGGCAAATATCGTATGTTTTGTGTTTGATGATGAAAGATAAAGCAACTGTTCTAGACTGTTATATCCTTGTGATCATGAAGCGTACAATTTCTTGTCGAAACGATAAATAATGAGCACCATCAATGATATAGATTGAGAGCACTGTCCGGAAATACTCACAATAAGATGAGATGGCATTTTTTCCATAATGCATCCAATTAGTGTCGCTTCACTGTTTCCTCTCAAAAGTGGATTTTATATTCTCTTTTCAGAAAGAAAAACGAACCATCAAAGCGAGATATATTTAATGGAGTCAAGCAGAAATATGTTTGCTTCGGCATTTTTCTCTCTTTCTCATTATTTCTTTGTGTAACAGATGAACCGTTTTTAGAAAATTTACTTGAAAAGTATTCTTCATCGAAGTAATTAAAAGATTTGAACAATGATACAATATAAAGTATTGCAGGAGCCTGATGTTTTAATTCCTCATCCGATTCGATTTTGGATATTTTTAATTTCTTTAATTACTACATTAGCTTGTTCTATTTTTGTTCTTTATCATTTACTCATCGATCGAACTTTACGTAATGCACTTAATAATCATGTTATTATCGTACTTCTATTCAATAATTTGATGTATCAACTCATAGATATTCCATTGTCACTCAGTTTCTATCATTTGGGCAATGTTTGGCCAGCTTCGCCAATCTTATGCCTATTTTGGATGTTTATCGATGAAACATTTCTCTCTCTTTCATTAATACTTGTAGCTGGAGCATCAATTCAACGACATATTCTTATTTTTCATAAACGGTGGCTGTCAACAGACAAAAAACGTTTCTTCATTCATTATCTTCCAATAGTCATACTCTCTTTCTATATTATTGTATTTCATTTTATAACTATTTTATTTCCACCATGTCAGAATATATTTAATTATCAATTGTCCGTATGTGGCTATCCACTCTGCTATTATGACATACGACTAGTTCTTATATGGGATATTGCTATTAATAAAATTCTACCTACTCTAACCATTGTTGTATTCAGTATTGCTCTTCTTGTACGTGTTCTTCTACAAAGACGTCGAATGCATCAATATGTTCAATGGCGAAAACATCGAAAGATGACAATACAATTATTAGCTATAGCAATGCTTTATTTATTTCTTTATATTCCATTAATGATTATAGAACTGATTCAATCCTGTTGTATGCCGGCAGAAGTTGGTGTCAACATTGAAGTATACGGAGAGTTTTTTTCATATTATGTGATGTTCTTATTTCCATTTGTGAGCGTATTTTCATTGCCTAATTATAAGGGTAAAGTCAAAGGCGTACTTTTATTCTGCCATCGGCAGATACGATCTATTATTTATGTATTATTCTTCTTAAAATGTTTTGACGCCCAAAAAAGAAACACTATAGCCCCTTTACCATAGTCTTAGCTATTGTACAATGTATTGTTGAGAGAATAAATAATCACTAAATCATTTTTTTAGATAAATGTTTTTGAACAGGAGCATAAATGTTCTAAAATAAAATTGACAATTTTCAAGCATATTATGAAATAAGTAATGTTCATTGGTTACTTATTTTCTTCTATCTAGACTGGAGGACAATGAAATGTGAAAGAACATAGAACTCTTCAGCTATGGAATTCAGAAATTTGATTCTCTTTTTCTTTCAAATCGAGCTGATTTCTGCCTATCAATCCTGCTATACTGTTCCGAGTTCGCGTGTACAATTATGCACTGGCATTCTACCTTCCGCAGCTAACCGTTGGTGTCGTACCAGACATTAGAGTTTCGCTGTGTCGCCATACCGAGAATTATACTCTCGGTATGTAATCCTACCACCTATTCACTTGGAAATAAATGCGATCGGTTGCAGTGAATAAAATATGATGCCTAGTTGATCATCATTGTCCATAACACCAACAAACAGGAGTATATTTCAGATTAAATTGAAAAGAACTTTATCCAAGATCCATTGACGATATACTGGCAACATGTCAAACAAGGAAGAACCAATTTTGAACTTTGAAATATCAAAAATAAATTAGAGATGAAATGAAAATATTGGAAATTCGAAGAGAAAATGAACAAGAGAAGAGCAAGATTATCGATCATGTTATTGAGTCCGACCGAAGACCGAAAGATAGACGAAAATAGGCAGCCAGTTCGAAATGCGATTGGATGTATACCAGCAGATTTTGACATTTGATCATCTTGAGGATTTTCAGGAATTTGAAGATCATGGGCACGCACAGCGAAAGTCAAAATGACCCTTTTCACGATTTGAAATACCAATCATTTCATATTTCTTAGTCTTATTATAACAGTTAGTTCTCTTCGATGCAATGGGAGATAAAAATTTTCATATTGGTGAAAAGACAGCACTCACGAGGGAACATTCTCAAGTGTCACATCGCTTTTGAGTCAAGAGTATGAGCATCATATAGGCCCTAATGATCTATGAATAACCTGAAAAGAGTTCGTGCTGCTGGCTTATTGCTGTCGAGATATTGCATTTTTACGGTAGTTTTAAGAACAACGCCGTGGTCCCCCTCAGGAACACCAGAAAAGCTGAGTTTAGAATTTTTACCTGAAACTTTGCATAGAAACAAGCCTCGATGAGAATAGTTCTTTGTGAAAGTTTCAAATCTTTTTGTTGTTCCTATCTGTAGATACAACTATGATAACTTCATTCGGATAAATCAGTAGATTTGATGTTCTCATTTCAGGATAAGAACTAATCAAAACATCTGAAACTTTCACAAATAACTATTCTCAATGACGCATGTTTCTATGTAAAGTTTCAAGTCAAAATTCGAAAATCATTTTTTCTGGTTTTCCTGAGGGGGACCACGACATTCATTTAAGAACGTACCGTAAAAATGCAATATCTCGGCAGCAATAAGCTAGCAGCACTAACTTTTTTCAGGTTATTCATAGATCATTAGGGCCTACATGATGCTCATACTCTCGACTCAAAAGCAATGTGACATTTGGGAATGTTCTCTCGTGATTGTGGGTGCGGATAGGATGTGTGGATGTCGGTGTGGGTCGATATTCTCATCATCTACACTCCCACATATCCACACCCAAATCCCACACCCACACCCCACACCCACACCTACACCCACATCCACACCTATATTGAAATCGAGTATGTTTTTTGAGTAAACTCGACTCTATTAACACATATTGGAAGAAATATTTGGTTAAGTATCAACTAAGTAATGGCTATCGCATCAAGAAAAAATAAAAACACTGACGTAAGAGGGAACTTTTATTGATCAAGTCAAAATGGTTGGAAAACATCGTCTAAATTCATTATGTTGCCTAGAAGATACAAAATACAAGCTAAATGGATTCGAATAGAAAATCTCTTTTGCTTCAAAATCTGATATTCATGAACTCCCTTCGTCATTTTCTCTCAGAGGTACAAAGGCTATCAAAACATGTCGCGTGTATGTATTTCTTATAATTACATATAAAAAAATGCGCGTTTAAATGCATTTCTTGCTTTACCATTAGAGTAAACCCGAATCAACGCGCTTTTTCATTCGTTTACATGCGTTTTGTCTATGACTCTCAGATGCAATCATATGATTAAAATTTTTTTACATAGAATATCTTTTATTTCCATGCAAAAGAACATAGTAACGATTTACAATTTTTAGTTCTATAGTACGAAAAATCTGTTAAAGATAAACGAGAAATTGTTTATATAGAAAAGCTATTTATATTTTCGTTGTATCCAAAATGAAATATGATCCTCTGATACAAATCGGTGAATATCAACAACACATGGAGGTTCAGGCATTGTGATTATTTCATCCTTCGTCTTCATATCAGTCACTTCGTACTCTTTTTCGGTAAAATCAAAACGTAAACATTTTAGTTGATTTTCATTAATATGAGTGAAAATGAAATCGATCCATTTGTGAATATTGCACCATGCCGATGAAATCTGTTTGTATCTAATGAAACGTAAATATTGCAATTGAGGAAAACTGTGTTTGTCAACAACGAAAGAAAGAAGTGGTAACAGGATTTCTTCGTTTAGGTTCATGTTGATGATGGACAAGCAATCTACATATAGTCGATCAAGATGTCGAAGGAAACTACCGCGATATTGATTGTCACGACATTTAGTGAACCAATATTTCAGTTCACTTGAATTAACATAAAGACATTTTATGTTCGGTAATAAACGAAACCAGCCAATTAATTATAAAATTAAAAAAATATCATTAAGTTTCATAGATCAGCCCTTCACAATAAAAGGAACTGGCGCCTATATCGCCTACTCATTTTTTTTCATTTAGCTATTTTTGATTATAAGTGATGTGAAGGTATGACATCACCAAACCAGATTGTTAACGGTGATACCTATTCACCATACCCCTCGATGCTTTCATTTTCTCTTTCTTTTCTTTGTTATTGTACAACTATCTCTTTTCTCTTCTTTCTCTGTGATGTTATGCTCTTCAAGGACATTTATATATATATGTGTGTGATGTTTTTCTTTTGAATAAATATACATATCGATCGCTCGACGAAACGAGCTAACACAGATCTTGGACATTTTTAAATAGCAAAAAAGTCAATACATTAGAAATGAGTTACTTACATACAAAGTATCATGAAAACAAACTTTTAATAATCAAAATCTCGAAATTCTTCTCATTCTCATGATAATTTCTATGGAAATGGCTCGTTTATAGTGCATTGATTTTTTGGTAATTAAAAATGTTCAAGATCTGTGTTAGCTCGTTTCGTCGAGCGATCGATATGTATATTTATTCAAAAGAAAAACATCAC